CGAGAAAACTGGTCATGTCTAATTCTGGATAAAAATAAAAAATAATTATATTTGTATAAATACTTAACTGAAAGACTCTTAAAGAATGACACGTCATGGTACATAAGAGTCATTACACTGTAATATACCTCTCCAAAATCTAATCTACTAACGAACCTACATTATTATAAGTACACTTTTATCAGGTGCACGATCATGATATTCAGTAACCGCATTAATATAAGAAATTTATTTTGAGTCGCCATTAACGAGGAATGATAACTTCATGTTTCATGTTTGTATATTTGTATAATCAGTGGCACTGCTCAAAAGCAATCAGCACTACGTAGGGAAGTTTGTTACTATAGCGCCAAAAAGAATCCTTATCTTCAGCAAAAAAAAAAAAATGTTATCTACAAATCGCTGAGAGCTATCCAAACTAACCGGAATCAAATATTTGGACAAAAATAGAAATTCACCCTGGGAAGATCTCGCCAGTAACTAAAAAGGAAACGAAATAAACAAAATTCCAAATTCGTATATGTTTCTAAGAGGGCCAACGTATCAACAATATTTTTAAGACGAAAGTTCTACCAGTTTCCGTTGTGAATAGCCGCTCGCTTTCCGAGCAAAGTAGGCGGTTTCCTATTTTGTACAACAAAGGAAACTCTACCGCCCCAAATACTATATTTATAATCATTACGATTTAACGGGGAAAGGAAAATTGACTTGCCAATGAGTGTTTTAAAAGAAAGTGAAAACATTTATGGTTTTGTTACATTAAAACAAAAGATACTCTTGTTGTTACAAACTAATATTTCTGTGTTTGTGCGCCTGAGAAAAGAGTCCTTTAAACTCGCAATATTTTGAAATCAAAAACCACCCTGATAAATTTAACGAGCTCCTCTTGTTATGATACCCGTGAACGACGCTACTTCACACTGATTAACGCGAATCGTCAAAAACTGCATTTGCGGTGAGACCACAAAAATCTACCAAATCCTAAAAACCCAGCGATGTTGTTTCAATATCTTCGCTCGGTCCGAGCGTCTTTCGAGAGTTCTCTAAGGAATAATTCCTTACTTATCTTTGATAAGCCGTGTGGGTATTTTTCTACAAAGACCCTTGACAAACCGTGAGCAGAATTCTTCACCTTCAATCGTTCTTTTTTGACCAGGAACTAACAATCCAAGTATTTTTCTTAGTGGCTGTGATCATTAAAGCGAGGTATCGAGAGGTATAAGCTAGAGAGCAGTTCTTTAGTACTCTTCACTGATCATTCTATACTTGGTGGTTTTTTGATAAAATCATAGTGCTAGCTACTGCCGCATGTTCGGATTATTGCGCGACTTCTATGACAACAAATAGGATGGTATAAGAAGACTCCGAGTCTTTCCTTAAAACTGCTCCGTACCTAAGGAAAAATCAAGGGGCATTTCAGAGAATACTCGAACAGTACAACATTCAATAGAAATTGACAGTTATTAGATGAGCTTGGTAGAAAGTGACGAGCAAATAAATGCTTGTTTCGCGGTCATATCTTGCAATGAAAGAGGCGTCAGTGGGCAATTCTTTACTTCGAAGCTGTTGCCTAGTTTACTTTTACTCAGTTCGTTAAAATTCAACCGGTTTGCATGGATTCGTCGAACCCGTATTTCGCATTTTGTTATCAGTGGTTGAAAAGCCATTTACAATGACTGAGTTTACTTAGAAAAAAAATTCGAGCAAATAACAGTCCTTGGAACCGTCACAAAAGATGAACGATGAACTTCTTTTTTGGATGAATAACTCACAAAACCGCAAACACCGGAACACGCTTTCCTGCACCGAACTTTCAATACGGACTCACTTGTAGTAAAGATCGAGCCGACAGGATACCGTGAATAACAGATCGCTGTCCTTTGGCGGCAAAATAAAATACAAACATTGTAATAAGTAGAAAGAGAAATTCACTTTAGGAAAACTAAGCCAGTTTTTAACACTGAACTTTATAAAACAGGCCCGGAAGATTATAGTAAGGTACATGAAAAGGGTATTTTTTGCGATCTGGTTTTTCGCGAAATTCAACCTCTAGAGACAAGACGAAGAGCAAGTTTGACACCGGCTAATTCGCAAGAACATTTCACGGGTGATTTACTGACTTTCGTAACGAGCTCTACAGTAAGAAACCCGGTTGGAGCCAAACTAGGATAAAAACTGCTACGTTTTAGTTAATTGATTCTTTTCCTCGAGACCTTAAGTCATTTCCGTTATGAAAGAGGCAGTATACTCATCAAGATATTAAAGTATTAAAACAAGAAGTTTGATAAAAAAAGTAACCTGCTCATTTCGCCGGAAAGCCCATCTTCTACGACGTCTGTATATTGTGCTCCTCCACTGAAATCGTTAAATGTGGGGACGCCGGTTTCTTTGAGTTGTCACCTAGATATAAACATGTATATGAAACACAAAAGCCCTCTGTAAAAGAAACCTTATAACAGTCATTTTAGTGATAAAAAGGACATTTAACTCTACTCAAAAACCGTTGTTATGAACACTAGTATTAATTAAGTAATTTCACGTTTTTTTTTTTTCAGTACACAGACAACTGGCAAAAGAATTTGCAAGCATTTATTTTACTGAGGTTTTCCTTGACATCACCGGAAAAAAAACATGCCGCCCTGATCGATATTTGATCAAAACTTTGCCGGTCAAATCTGGCTGAGCAAGCTGTTTTCGATTGGTCAAAAAATTTGGCGCGTCAAACTATTGCCCATCTGACTAGGTAAACACCCGAAACGAATAATATCAGTTCGTAGTTGATATGATATTGTTGAAGAGAAATTAGGTTATTTATAGGGCGGCTTACAGAGTGACTTCTTTCGCAGTTCCTTCATAGTGTAAAAAACAAAAATACTGTGAAGAGAAAAGCTGGCTAAATGCAATAAACCGAACTAAGTTTGGTGTTAACCACGGGCGTTGCAAAAAATTTGAAAACAGTTTTTTACCTCGAGGTCTTTCAAAGGTTCAATTTTTAGATCAAAGTCAGAAACTCTTTGTATTCGCTGCCCACTCGAGGAACTCAGCAAGAACAAAACAAATAATATAAAAGAGCAAACTTCCAGCCAGTAGGCCCTAAAAGTTTACGACCATGTCGTCTTTAAAATCACTGAACTATGATTCCTTAACTGATTATGTACATAATTGAATTTTAATTGCTATCACTCAAAAGATGCGTTCATTGTTAACCATAGCTTAAATTTTCTTCTCCTTTTAAGGGTCAAGCTATCTCGCATCTGATATTCAGGAAATAACTGTGCTCCAATCACTGCGGGATGGAGCGATTATCCGAAAATACAAGATAAGATTTTTTTGTTTAGAAACAAACCCAACTGTATACCGGAAACTGGTTCCCGGATTGCAATCTAAAACTTCTTAATGACTTTATGAACTTCAGGCATAAAAAAAACTGAAAGAAGACAAAAAACTTTACATTTGAAAAGCTTCTGACAATGAAAGATTTACGTACATGGGGTAACGATAGCATAAACTTTATTAATCATGAGAAAGTTTAGCGAGGCTGCTTTCCAGAGCAATATAAGGGGTTCAAAAGCTCAAATCATTATTTGTTATTTTTCCTTAATTTTTAACATGGTGTCCAAACATGTACAGAAGTCAGATTTATCGATAAATGTCGTTTAGAAGGAGTGAACAAGCGGGAAAAACACATAGGAGAGGGTAAATATCAAGCAATAACAAAGTCCATAATGGTAAAGAAACACTCGAAATGTTCGGCGACGACAAGTCTAAAAGCGGACTTAATTTATGCTTTCCTAAACCTAAACGCGTAAGATGGTCTGTTAAATAAGGAGCTGGTTTGAGCAGCAAAGAGGGAGATATGTTACAAAAAGTTAAAGCGAACCTCCGGTTTGTTTGTTAGAACGTGGGCTTAACATGTATCATACTGCTCTTTTTGTGTAATTGGGGGCGTTCTCAATGGTTTCCTGCTAAAAATGCTGTCTATTTGGACAATTCATCGTTGGAGAGAATTAAACCTTGTTGAACAATATCCGGTATTTAGCAAGCTTTCAGTAACTAACTAAAAGCTAAGTACAGCTCTTCTAGGGGGGCAAACGATCCGTCGCTAATCTCTCTAGTAAAGCCCTAAAACATTTACGATACGCGAGCAAACTAGCGACTTATTACCAAGATTAACTCTCTCTCAATTTCAAACATTCCGTTCTATCCACTGCGTTTTAGACAATCCAATATTTTGCATTCAGCGGGCACAAAGAAAAGCAATTGGATCGAGACAACTAAAAAAGTTATCATAGCCGCAAAGTTATTCTCATGAAAAAAGGACGCGCGTCAATGGGCTATTTTGAGTAGAGTTTCGACGGAACAGACAGTCCTTATCGCGTCATAGAGGGACCAAGGGGCTATGACTTTCAAAGCATCTGCCATTTCACTGATTTACGATCAAGGCTGTGTCGCTTTGAGCTAAGTGCTATCGGAAATGGCTGGGTAGTGTTGGTTAGGGCTCTTTTAGACGTCAAGGTGCCAACCGAGATTGGCGGCCCGAATTGCACAATCTCTAAACTTAAAAGCCCTAACTGCGCAATTATTAGGAAGGCCTGCAGAGAGATCTAGCACCCTGTGGTGATCGGCGGTGCAAACGGATGCACGAGGGGGGTAGGGAGATAGAAATAAACACCGTTTTTTATCCCACGCTGGAATGAACCGACTATAGAGAGTACGCAGAGCGCAATTCAAAACACCAATAAATTAACAAAGAGGATAGTGTGAAGAAAGACGTTTGATATAAAAAAATGGACAGTGTTTGTAAATGATGTGCTACCTACGCAAACAGAAAAGAAAAGTAGTTACAGCTCTTATTCTATTTCTTCGCCTGGGCATTCACACGCCTGCCAAGTGGCGCGAATTTGAATGGCCGTGTCAACTCAGGTGAAACGGGGGGCGGAGTTGTTTCGCGTCCAACCAGCATATATATAAGGCCGAGTGCGGATTGTTTCAGATAAGCTGACCACGGGTGCCGTACGCTTATACGTTGTCGAAAAACAAGAGCAACTCAGACTTGCCAAGAAGTAGCCTCTTGCCGCGGCTCTCGAATCGGATGTTTCAGTTCTTCAAAATGCGACTGGTCATTTTTGCCGCCATTCTAGCTGGAACTTACGGTAAGCCGATTTGGTATTTCTGCTTTAGGAAACTACAATGATTGTAACAAAAACCAAAAACTTTCCAAAGATTTTCAACGATCTAAGCGTGTTACAAAACAGTCTCTTGCCCGGAATTTTCGCTTCTTCAAATGCGACTGGACATTTTTTTACCGCCATTCTCACTGAAACTGTATGCAACTTGCGGTAAACCGATTTGGTGTTTCTGCTTTAAGGAAACTTCAACTGTAAAAAAAACCCGACAATTTCCAAAATATTTTAAACGATCTAAGCGTGTTACTATAGTATACTGGTTCATTTTTGACAGCATCTCGCCGAGGCATTACTTGCTGTCGTTACTCAGCTAATCTGGCTAATCTGAGCTGAAGATTCCGTGATAGAATGGGAAGGTTGTGTATGCTAATACCATTTCTAAATCTCGTTTAATTTAAATAACCTTTATGCTATTTTCTTATTAATCTCTGCCCTTTAATCAGGCGTTAAGTCTTACCGAATTATAGAAAGGAAACGAAACCGAGACAGAAAAAGACTGCTTTCAAAACGGCACGAGGACACCATGCTTTCACGAAAATGAATAGTGATATCCGGTATATGGGTTCGAAGAGTGTGTTTTGCCTACATTTTACCGGTTTCAAGGGAGTGCGGTCCCTTAAGATTCATGCATCCAAATTGGCGTGATAGATCAAGTCGACAAACAAGCCAGAACTTAGAATCAAAGTCAGCTATAAACGTTCTTTTTTGAAAGTAAATAAATAAGTAATTCGAAGGCGTAAAAACCAATAAAGTGCAATATTGAAGAGTTGTGAAACTAGCAATATATATTTTCTTTAAAACACCAAGAGACGTCTTCGTCTTTCTAGCTGTATTTTCTGAAAATAAAAGTCTGTCCACCTCTGTTTTCCTTGACTTTCAACTGAGGAGTGTTCTCAGTGATTTTCAGAAGCAACAGATCAAACGTCCAATTTCAAAACGCGGAGTATATCGAGCAGAGCAGATAAATGCATGCAAAATATATTGTTCCGAATGAACTAAAGTTGTGTAATCGCAGCTGAGCATTTAACTTTTACATTAAGAGCATTTACTTTCCACCGCAAAAGCGAAATATTGCCAGATGAATTATAAGATGTGGGCTAAAATTATCTTTTATTATGAAAGGAATTTGAATCCCTTTTAATGGATATTTGACTGGCAATATACCAAAAGCAAAGATATAAACTAAAAATTCCAAGTAGTATTGGCTTGTTGGGTTTCTTGAGCAAAATATAGCTCTCCACTCGATATTGAAGAAGATTTTAAACGAATTGAAACCTAGTTAATTGATAAGAATAACTTACAAACTTTTTGTAACAGTTTTGGAATGCTATAATTGTAAGAGAACTACAGAGAAGATAGACTGTTTAGAAACAGAGCCTTGTCGACATCAAAAATGAAAACTCGCAAAACTTGAAGTACAAAGTTTGACTTGTCACATATAATGTGAAATGATTGATCGGTGATTTCTAACTTCGGGAAAGAAAGTCAAGAGAGTGATCTTCATGAAAACTTCTTTTCTTGTCCCCTTTAGGGCAAATTCCTGATAATGGCGGCTTGGGACGATCTCTTTAAAGGGGTTCTGAACATTTCAGTCCGGTTTCTGGCTAGTTATGCCGGTTTGTTTAACCACAAAACTATACGACATTTCCGAGGCCTGGTGTTCAGTGTGTAGTGTTATACTCATCTGTTATGAACTTCGCGAAAAGGAAACAAAATTACCGGTTAACAGTTTTAAAGTTATATGTAAAAAGTACTGATTACTCGAAATATCGCTTATTTAAAGTGCACTAAGTAATCGCTTAAGTTAATTTTACTTTCGCGTTTTGGTCTCCAGTCCCACCCTTACAAATATTTGCTCTCTTTCGCTAATTACATATAAAGCTGGAAAATTTGTTTTGTTAATTCATACTCGAGAAACGGAGAACATTTCGTTGTTTAGCCACTGTTCATTTGTTTTAAACTGATACTACTTATTTCACACAGCCTACTACAAAACCAAGACAAAACTGAATAGGTTTGACAGTCTCTCAAACCTTTCAGACACGCTTTTGAATGGACAGGTCATTTCAGTCCAAACGAGGCCACTCAAAAACTCAATGTTTGCAAACAAAAAAGCCATTACACCCTCTTCAGTTCTTAGTTTTCAAAAGTATTTTTCTCTAAGTAAAGTTTAAGTGAAGGGACGTGAAGCATAGACGAAAACAAATCAAATCTTTTAGCCTTTGATATTTTTAAGCTCTTAGTTACTCCCGATGATAGTCCGCTCAGTTGTGTACTGTACACAAAAAATAGGTTTAACTTTTGATTCTGTGCGAACTGAATACGAACTGAACGAGAACTATACCGTTTAATACAACAGTTGAATTCCTTGCTGGAGAACCTTTGGTTTCCATTCAGTACAAAAAAAACCAAATCTGTTATTTTTTGCCCTTTCATTTTGACTTAGAGCGCCTTTGCGAAGTTGCAAACGTAAAATATCTGCTCTTCTAATGAGAGTTTTCCAAGTAGAAGTAGAGACACATTGTCTGCTAATCTTGATAGACATATCTTACGCCTTAAGAAACTAAAACAATGGTTCTGTAAAAGGGGAAGTACTTATATTATAATTCAATTATCACTTTTCTTCGCGCTGCCGAACTTTCGATTGAAAACGTTATATTACTTTGAATTTCGTCTGAGTGAAGTATACTTTTAATACAAAACATAAAGGAAATTGAAGATCATCGCAATATAGGGAGGATGTCATAATTAGCCTAAGAAATATGAAATATTACTCAACGGTGCTGATATGAGTTAGCAAAAATAATATCCCTCACCGCAAAATACGTAACAAATCTTTAGCCTCTGATAGCGGATTACACAACAATACTCTAAAGTGGTACATTGTCCAAAAATCGCCCGCACTGAAACTGTTTTGAGCATTTCCTTGAGAACCAGAATGGATGATAATCAACAACTTTTTATTCGTTCAAAAACACCCAAGACCATACATGAGCGATTTATCTGTTCTGGTGGTATGGCGACTAAAATAAGGTCTGTTATTGTGGCTGAGCCTAATTTGAGCAAGCTAGGAAGTTTAATAACAGTATCGGGCCTAAAATTTGCGACTACGATGACAAAACACAGAGTGTTCTTTGTTTTTTCAACACAACTGACAACCTGAATGTGAATAAGCACAATTCCAAAGGACCTTTTACTAAAGGAAGGCTAAAACAAATTGATCGACATTTTTATCCCTTTATCTGAAAATTTTGGAGCATTCCCGAATTTGTAAATTTCTTTTGACGTTTTGAGATTCCTTGCATGCTGACAAGAATTTTTGAGGAAAACTCTACATTCTCAATGCATGTTGTCAACAGAAAAGCTTAAGAGGCCAAAAACTGACAAAGTTGTGAGCGACGTATGTCTCTATCAACTGTCGGCTCTGATTCAGTGAAGTTTTAATTAAAAAATATGACATGCAATTTATTGACAATGGCAGGTTAAGTGGTTGACCATTTGTGGAAGTCGGGAAGCAGAGGTTTAGTCCGCGGAAAAAGGTTGTAGTAGCTAAGACGTGGCTTGGTTTGTAAACAGGAAACGGGCGTATAATTGTAACCAAAACAGTTGCAGTTTATGTCTTAATATGGTAAGGTCTGAACTCAACTTGCCGTATTGAGATATAAAAGATTGAATTGAAACAAGCAAAAGTTGTGTACCGTATATTATGTTTGTATTTTTTTACGCTCAATCTACAAAAAATTACGTCGAAAGTCCATATTGGTTTCATCACGGCAGTGGCAAACACTAGCTTGAAAAAGTTAAAAAATCAGTGAGAGCAAAATAGCCGGCAACTTGTTGCTACGTCACTGTGTGAAAATCAAATGAGTAGTCTAAATTTAAAATAGGGAACATTTATGTCAAAGTTTTTCCCTTTTGCAAAATTGTCTGAAGACACAACATCGTCGGGGAGATAAAAATATTTCGTCAAAATATAACTCAAAAGTTAAAACACTTTACCGTAAAAGAATTAGGAAAACAACAACTCTGCATTTTGGTACTACAACGTGAAATTTGCGGATTTAGGTTTCTGGGAAACTGCCCACCTACCCCTCCCCTAAGCCATCATTTTGCCCTAAGTGAGAAATAATTGTTAATGTTAGCAGAGGGGAGGGGTAGGTGGGTAGTTTCCTAGAAACCTAAATTGATCAAAATTTGCTACGGTCACGTTTAGAGGACGACAAATATTTTTAGAATTCAGCCCTTCATAATTCAACACCAAGAAATTTCGGCTACATACGACGAAATGAGCGCGAATTTGGAATAAGAGCGTTTAAAAGACCGGGAACGCCGTCGTCGTCCATGTTTATAGGCCGGACCTCACGAAAGGAGGACGGCGACAGCGACGACAACGAGAACGGGAACGGCAACAGCACGCGCAGAACGCGCGGCACGCTTTTTTGTAAATTTCTTTGCTGTCCTTGCACAACTACGACGTAAAATGACTAAATTCGAGGTTGACTTGAGAGCGGGAATGGCAAGGCGATAAATTTTACTATATTTGTCTGAGCTTAGACGCGGTCACCTCTCTTCAGCTAGCTCCAACCTAAATTTCCTTCTTTTAAATGACAAAATTCTAGGTTGACTTGAGAACGGGAATGGCAAGGCGATAAATTTTACTATATTTTTCTGAGCTCATACGCGGTAACCTCTTTTCAGCTCCAACCAACATTTCCTTCTTTTAAGTGGGACGTGCAGCAAGGAGCCGAAAAGTGTGACCTCCTTTAATTAAATGACATTCTTTCAAGCAGACATTAACCAATCAGAAGTCGAGGACAGTTTCCAGCTGACTTCTGATTCGATTAAATCTGTAGGAAAGAATGTGTATAAATCAAAAGCGGTCACACTTGGGTTCCTTGCTATAAGACTTGAAATAAAGTTGCGAAAGATCTGAAATTACGCGAACTCTATTTTCAGCTACGATTTCATTGGCGTCGCCCTTGTCAGACCGTAAGTTCCCTAATCTACCAATGTACAAGGTCCGAAGACTCAATACTAAGGGGTATAACTGACTGACATGCATATTTAGGAAAAAACACAAGATAATTACGAACAAACAGCACCATGTGAAAGTACTGTTAATAAAGTTATATTCAACATGAGGTATTCGTCCATAGATTGAAAAGTTATATCTGTATTGTGTGTCTCTATAATTGACTTTGGAAAAAAAAATAAACAGACATGAACACGCCGGTACGTCACTTCAGTTTTAGAGCGGATATCTTAAATACCAGTCGCCTAAACGATCTTTGCTCTGAAATTTTTTACCTAGATAATGCACCCCTAATAAATTAGGAATTTATCAACAGCTTGTCAGCACCACTAAGTATTTCGAGTTATCTTTTGATCGAAAAAGTTGAACAGTATCTGAAGAATTAACGCAGTTGGCCAATATTTCATCCATACTAAGGCTTTTATCCATTAAGGATAGGCAGACTTACATATTAAGAACAGGAAAAAAGATTTCGCTTCCAAACTATTAATAGCATCTTATATAGTCTTGTCGCTTTTCTCGCTGAACTTCCTTTTTTATGTCTTCTCACCCAACGAGATCACTTGTTACAGTTATATTCTCAAGCTGTGAGGTTTCTAATGAGCGGGAAACTTATTGTTGTTAATTTCCGTTCTTGAGAGATCTTGAAATTATTGTTATAATTAATGATTATAATTTCCGCTCTGAAAGTGCAGTCCGCCACCAACTGGGAAAGAGCCAAGAATAGTGAAAGAGCGCACTTGTACAGCTCGCGCGTCTTCTAACCAATCAGAAAGCAGATGACTCGTTTCATCTAATCATGTACCGATATTTTGCGATCTCTTCCGGAGCCTTATTGAAGCTCGTTTGGTGATTTGGTTTAGATTGTACTATAGAAAAGAGCTCTATTAAAATTTCACTTAGTTTTTCTGAGAAATATTAAGACTTCAAAAGTTCGTTGAAGTTTAAACTGGTAGAAATTTCCTTCGCAAACGTAGGCAATAAGAGATTATTACTTAATATGCTGTATAAGGTGGTTTTAACTATCTATTTTATAGATGAAATCATACAGTGTGACCATTCAAATGAAAGCTACTGAGCAGTACTTTTCCGTGGTGCTGTTTATTATGCTCTACAAGGTGGTTCTAACTTTTGAGTCTGTGGATGAAATCCTGTAGTGTGACCATTCAAATAAAAGCTGCTGAACAGTACGTTCCTGTAGTGCTGTTTATTACGCTGCACAAGCTGGTTCTTGCGTTAGAGTCTAAGGATGAAATCCCCACGCGGTGACTTTTCATATGAAAACGATTTAACCATACATTTTAGGCTCCCGCGGATAATTCTCATGTGCAAAGCAGTTAGCTGTTTCTCAGCCAGTGGCCAATACCCTCTGGATTTTACACAATAATTTGTCTGTTCCATATTGACCTTCGTCCTTATCACACATTTGCAGACAAAAGTAAATCTCAGCATCTTTCTCCAATCAGTGATACATCGCCCAATACGATTACGCTTTTTTTAACCATTGAACTTAAAAGTGATGTCCCCTATTGGCCGCGGATAATTTTGTGATGTTGGCTTCCGAAAGCAAAAGAGGCAAACGCATGCATATTGTAATTTGTTTATCTTTAGTAAAAAACTGAAGAAGGTTTCAAAGAATTACAATAGCGAAAAGTAGTTACTTTAACTGTCTGCGCTGCAAATGGCATGGCCTTCTCTGCAGGTGGCTCACGCTCGGTATTAGAGCGCCGAGAACCACAATACCGCATGCTCGGGTAACGTTGCATAAAGTGCGGATTATTGGATTTGTGTGGGAAAATTTACTGTATGGTTCTCAAAACCTCTTTGGTTCATTGCTGTTTTCCCAAACAGCGAGCGACAAAACGTGTAGAATAGCCAAAGAAAACCCGCGCTAAAGTAAGTTAAGCTTATGCAAGTTCCATATCGATGCCCCTAGCCTTTTTGAGAACAATAGTGAACTTTCATACAATCTTATAAATTGTACGTACGCTACTTACCGTTGTGAAAGCATACAATAAAGCATACAGTATTATTTACAATTGTCTACAACTCGACCTTTTGAGCGACTAGCCTATGAACGTGCTCCGGTAGGAATGTGGTGTGACTGTCATTTATTCCTTTCCTCCTTCGTCCGTGTATTTTGCTCTTTCGACTTCGCTTCACCCTATCCCTCACTAGAGAGCCTTTTCAAAGATTAGTCAGCAACCAACTCATCGATGACCCAACCACAACAGACTTAAAAAAAGACTAAGTACTGTTTTACTGAGAGCTCAAATCGCGAGGTTGGGGTGCCTGTGACTTCTCCATTCGTTTGTTAGTGCGCGCAAAGAATTTCCTGTCATATTGAGCCGATGAGCTGACGAAAGCGATAAGAAATCGTCCCTGCAATGCCTGCATAAAGCTTCCAAGGTTATCAAATATTAATATTGATAGAATTCATTTCTAGAGTTTATCTTCAACTTGCCGGGTGTTGGTAATACAAATTGTATAATTTTAACGTTGTTTCACCTTGAGAAGCTGCCAAGTCAGTAACAATTCAAGATGAGGGGGAAATGTCTATAAAAACCAACAAGACCACTGCTAAAGGAGTTTTTTCCATCAGTCTCACGCTAAAAACTAAATAGTTGCCTTTCCTGCGTTGTACAAGGTAGTTCAAAAACTGTTCAAAGTTAAGAGTATGTCGATGAAATCCTATAGTTCGACCATTCAAATGGGGGTTATATAGTAAGAAGTATTTTCCTTTTGTACTGTTTCTTAGGCTGTTTAAAGTGAGGTGGTTCTACTTTATTACTTTTTGGATGAAATCCTAAATTGTGACCATTCAAATGAAAGCTACTGAGTAGTACTTTCCTGTTTATTATGCTGTACAAGGTGGTTCTAACTTTTGAGTCTGTGGATGAAATCCTAAAGTGCGACCATTCAAATGAAAGCTATTGAGCAGTACGTTTCTGCGGTACTGTTTATTATGCTGTACAAGGTGGTTCTAACTTTTGAGTCTGTGGACGAAATCCTAAAGTGTGACCATTCAAATGAAAGCTATTGAGCAGTACGTTTCTGCGGTACTGTTTATTATGCTGTACAAGGTGGTTCTATCTCTTGAGCCTGTGGATAAAATCCTAAAGTGTGACCATTCAAATGAAAGCTACTGAGCAGCACTTTCCTGTGGTACTGTTTATTATGCTGTACAAGGTGGTTCTAACTTATGAGTCTTTGGATGAAATCGTAAAGCTACTAAGCAGTACTTTCCTGTGGTACTGTTTATTATGCTGTACAAGGTGGTTCTAACTTTTGAGTCTGTGGACGAAATACTAAAGTGTGACCATTTAAATGAAAGCTACTGAGCAGTACTTTCCTGTAGTACCACACATTAACATGATTAACTATGTTTAACAAGATGGTTTTAAATGTGAGTTTGAGATTGAAAGTACGGGAATTCAATCATGGAGGCATGGCTGGTAAACCTTTATTCAGTATGGTGTTGTATTGCAATTTATCTGTGGTGATAAATTAGGTTTGGGGCACCGCTGTTTTTGTTAAAAGTTAAAACAATTTAATCACTATTTTTCTAGGTTTGGACGACTCTTTTACCATCACCACCGATGAGGACGAGCCTGTCACGTTCGACTTTTTAAAATACTACAAAGCTTCAGACAAGCTCGCTCATAAAGTTATAATTGATGAACAACCTAAACATGGAGCATTTGCCTGTGCGCCAGATGGGAACCTTAACATTCAAAACGAAATGTGTGATGCGCAAGCGACGTACGTACCAAATCAGGATTTCTCGGGTGAGGACGTTTTCATGTATTCGTACCTCTACGAAAACCTTACGACAACAACCGATGGTAAGCTCCAAGGTCGGATCGTGGTCCGACCGAAGCCTGATGTCATTATGGCGCAATCCGATGAGATCACCATGTCAGCTGATGATGGTCACGTGCATATCCCAGTGTTGAAGAATGATTACAGTAAAGATAGGTCAGCGGTTTGTATAGACACAGAAGAGAAGCCCTTCTCTCAGGGAAATCAGGTAATTATTGATTTTTATTGATTTTGTTGGACATAGTGGTGCCATTTTTTATTTGTAGTATATGCAGCACAGCTTAGGTCCAAAAACATTTTTAATGATATAACTGCTTTCATATAATCCCTGTGTTGTTGTCGGCAGAATTGGGGGTAAACTTCAGAATAACTCCGGTCTACAGGGGATATTTGGGGGATTCTTCAGCTTAACTTAAAGTCTTTGAAATACTCTCTGTCAGCATCTGGGAAGACACTTAATGACTGGTCCCAAGGGAAACAGTTAATTTTGTTTAACGAGAATCTCAATGTTTCCCGAGGCGGAGCCGAGGGAAACAAAATTAACTTTTCCCGAGGGACCAGTGATTTGTTTCATTAAACCTCGCTGTAACTGCGGTCGTCGGTCAACATTCACGGGTTCCAGTGCACTGTTACCCTCTGACGTCATAGATTTTGCAATGTTGCCCGCTCAGAGATTTTGGTGGGAAACAGTTTCATTGTTAGATATCATGTGACCTGGAATTAACCAATGAGAGCGAGCGCTGTTGGGAAAAAAATTCCAGCTATATAACAAAAGCATATATTGAGTGTCAAACACGTCCAAAGTAATGGGGACCCCTACTAGTGTTCTCTCTGTAGTAATAGAGACCTTTAGATTCTAAGACAAGGAAAACTACGAGAACGAGATATTCTCAATACTAAGTGGTGTACACGGGTGAACCAGCGTCATTTTGGCGGGAAAACGTGATAGCCGTGGTCACTCTACAATGGGTTTTAGCGAGAATGTGGTAGTGGTGGGAACAAGGTATTAAATGTTAGAGGTTTTATCATTTTGTGCTCGAGAGAGGGCTTAACCTCCTTCATGACAAATAACCTTGCTAACTTTTCTAGTGAAAAAACGTACTAGGAAGCTTTCTGAGATGACAATTCCTTGAGAATACGCAAAAAAATATATAAATAAACAAATAAAGTGAAATCTCGTTCTCGAATCGCTAAAGGTCTTGGATGAGCCAAAAAGGGGCCTATTCATGTCCAACCTTTTTTCTCCCGACCTCATGTATTTTAAGCAGGGCATTTACATAAGCCACTGTTTTCTTTTACCATATTACAGGTGAGGTTTGAAGACGTAGCTGAGAAGCTTGGCATGACAGCGATCCAACAGAAACCGCCTAAAGCTCCAGAATGCCTGTTTGACCAGTATGATCCAAACCTGAAAATCTGGATTCCGGGATCATTCTGTATTGTGGAACTCAGCTCGGGAGCGGCAGCAACCGCTGACTACGACGGTGACAGGCTCACAGATATTTACTACGCACGTGCAGATGGCCCTGATCAGCTATGGCGTAACCTTGGTAACGGGACTTTCAAAGACTTCACCGCCGAAGCAAATTTGAGCTCTACCGCTTTTCACCGCTCATCAGCAGTTGCGTGGGTAGACATCGACAACGACGGGGATTTGGACCTGTATATAGGCACTATGGCCGAGAGCAGATTTTATCTGTACGTAAACGATGGCATGGGCCATTATACAGAGGAAGCCGAAGAGAGGGGCCTTGCACTGTATCCTACGATACCACCCTACAAAACAAGTACCATGACCATTGCCGTTGGGGACTATGACAAAGACGGATGGCTGGATCTTTACACCACCGAATGGTTACCTCATCTTGATCTCAGCTTCGACTACAACAACGCCTCGCACTCACTTTCTCGCCTTCTTAGAAACCTGGGCGCGCAAGGAAAGCCGGGACACTTCGAAGATGTAACTGCACGCGCTGGACTGGGGAAGACCAAGGAACCAACCGTGGCGGCGGACAAGTTTGGTGGAGTTGATGTGAGGTATTATGGTGTAATGAACACAGGCTTGCTCAGGGATATCCTTCCAGGACCCTTTAAATTGGCTGCCATGTTCACTGATTTGGACAACGATGGTCTTTAACTTTTTTAGAGTCGATTCACAGATATATAAAAGAAACCATCATTTAACGGTTTTAACGGAGTTCTTCAATTGTACAGATAAAAAAAATGGAACCATCATTTAACGAAATTCTTCCGGGGTAGACCCATATTCTCCAGGTGGTAGACCTATATTCTTCTGGGGTAGACGCATATTTGATGGCCCCTCGGCAATTTGAGGAGTCCTCAAGTGGAGGAACGGAGCCCTTTCTTCTGAAGGCTTATTTGTTTTCACTAAATGATAGAAAATTTAGTCACCGTAAAATATTTTCTTTACGCAATTGGGAACGTCCTAACCTCATTGAAAAATGTCGAAATCGTTTTCATTCCTTTCGACTTCGGTTTATTAAATTGATTTCAAGAGCCAATTTATGGATTCTCACGACAGGGGAAAACAATTACGCAAAAGTGACGTTGGTGATCCATGTAAAGGGTTTCCATTTCAACCCTCCTGAGTGCTGAACAGTTTAACTGGATGGGTGGGTGGGGGGGTTGTTAGGGCGGTGCGCGAGAAACTTCCATGTGAAAGAGCAGAGGATACTAGTGGCCAAATTGAAGTTAAACACCACTGCCAGAGAACAATCAGTACTCAGCTCAAGCGTTTTTATGACCCCTAAAAGATATTATTTATTGTCTCAACAGGTTACCAAGACATAATAGTTGCAGGAGACTTCAGAACAAGCGCTATTTACTGGAACAATGGAGATGGCACCTTTACAGAAGGGACTGAGGAAAGCGGCGTGGGAACGGACGAAAATGGTATGGGTTCGACTGTGGGTGATTATGACCTGGACGGTCGGTTGGACTGGTTTGTGGGCAGCATTTATATGTCACCGGAACAGATGGAGCCATTCAGGGAAGTGTACCTCGGCGGGGGATTCATATTTGGAAATACTGGAAACAGGCTTTACAGGTTTGTAGTTGCGCCGACAATCCAACGAACCAATCACAACACAAGGCAAACATAGGAAGGGACGTCAAGTGCGAGTAAAGGCGTGTGAATGCGTGAACTGTGATTGGTTAATAAAATGGGGCGAAAACAGTTCAGTCAATCCTTTCACAGAATAACAGTCAATTAAAAACGCTCTTAGATCAACAAACCACGACCTTCTAAACTAAACAGTTACGCCAATGAACAGAGATACGAAAACCATATTGAAGCTGACGTCAAGGGTTTTTACCGGTGATCAACTTATTACACTACCAAAACTATGTTTGTAAACAGTGTGTTCTTCTATATCATGGAACGACGAAAGAAAACTTACCGTATCAAAGAAAGAATCGGTCAATTTTGTAAAACCAGCGTCATATCTGTTTATCAGGCAAAATTCTAACAAAAAATTCCAATCAACTGTGTTTAGAAGAGATAGTCGGTCATTTAAAAGAGAGAAAATAACACCTAGCATTTCTGAAGAGTCATTAAGTTGTGTACATTAGTTATCAGTTGTACCCTATCAAAAGCGATGAATTCCACTGAAACCAGGTTATTGCTTTCACAGGAATGAAGGTGGTCGTAAATTTTCAGATCAGACCGACCCGGCAGGAGTAAGGTTCGGTAATTGGGCCTGGGGAGCAGCGTTATTCGACTACGACAACGATGGAGACCTGGATCTAGTTCACACCAACGGTTTTGATGACCCGGATGTTACTGACACTGATTTCCTGCACCACACTCCCACGCGTCTCTATGACAACATGTTTTTCGAGGACGATAACGGTACAGCTCGATTTGAGGAAACAGGGTTTAACAAAGGCATCACCGACGTGTTTGACGGTCGCGGCGTTATCATCTTCGACTATGAGGAAGATGGCGACTTGGATGTTTTCATCGCCAATAATGCTAACCGTCCTGTGTTGTATCGCAACATCGGCAACAACAAAAACGACTACATTCGAGTCAAAGTTCTTGAAGCCAACTGCGACAGAGAAAGCGTTGGAGCTCTTGTCTTTCTGTATTCGCCGCGCCTGGAGAAAGAAATCATACGGGAAGTTGGAAGCGCAACCGGGTTCTCGGCACAGGGTGAGTACGTGGCACACTTCGGGTTGGGTTCGGAAACCGAAGATACTTTCCGAGTCCGTGTCTACTGGCCAGTAACCAACAACACTCGAATCATTTACAATGTACCTCGGCGGTCATCAATAACAGTTCGGGACATCTGGGGACATCGGAGTGCTGTTGAAGAGACCAAGTCTCCAAGCGAGTCAGTTCCAAGCTGCTCCCGGTTGATAGTGAAGGAGGTGACCAGGGCTCCAGCGCATGGTCACGTGGTGGTAGGACCCAAGCACGTGAGTTATTATCCTGACGCAGATTTTCACGGTGAAGACAGCTTCAATTATGCTGTGGGCGACGGAGTGAGCTCAGCTATTGCTACTGTCAACATTAAGGTATGAAAAATTAGATACGCATTGCTTGCGGATGAAAGTTGTCTTCTCCAATTCCAGTTCATTTAATGATTCATAAAGGGAGAACAAAGAAGGTTTAATTATTTAAACTCTCCATCCAATATCCTTTCCCTGTATAAAGAGGAGGAAAGGGCCATTGACGGCGTGAATGAAAAATTGACGTTAGGTAGATAGGTAAGCAATAATCAATATATTTAAAATTTTCAGGTCAAAGGAGCAACAAGCTAGCCTCAACAACACTCGGCTGGTTTCCATGGTGGGCGTGTCTACACATAAAAGCCATATATATATTTTCTAAGGGGATGGGTTAGAGAGGGGTTGCACATATCCTTGGCTGCCTATTCGCAATAAAAGCACATTGCATAAAGTACATTCAATGAATTAAATGTATTTCAAATATGCATTTCAGGTCCACAAAGTCGACAGACCCCTGCCTTCCCCAGCACAGTTATCAGAGAAGTTTGCGCGCTTGGATGCCGTTAACAATAACCCCCTTCACCCTGAGTGGGGCAAACCACTTATGCCTCTACTGCGCCTGCTCCCTCCAGCATACGATGATGGCTTTGACGCGCCCGCAGGATCCAACAGATCAAGTCCGCGGCTTATTTCCAATGTTGTTTGTGATCAGCGAATGGATGTCTTCAGCAAAGCCGGCTTGAACGACTTCCACATGCACTTCGGCCAAATGTTGGCCCATGATACCGACTTTGCAACACCGTACGCAAATTTCCTTACGACTGATAACCTAGGTATCCCTATTCCCGAGGGAGACCCGTGGTTTGACCCGCACGGCTCGGGTAAAGAAATCATGCGATTCAGACGATCTGGAATCATTCAGACCAGCGGAAAACTCCACGGAAGACCACGCGAACAGGTAATCCTTACTACAAAATGACTTTTTTTGTCAAATGATATACAGGGTCGCGTTATTTTCTCTGAGGACTTGTGTGACTCTTTTTAGGTCTAGCAACACGTAGAAAGGGTAAGAAACCACGTAACTGGTTAAATAAAACACTTTAGTTAAGCAGAAGAACACAATTAAAGCAAAGTGAGGAGTTCAACTTGAGTCCGCTTAAACGAATACCAGCCACAGCTCTGGACAATCACAAAGCAAAAAAAATGATAACCAGTGTACCAATCACATTACGGAGCAAGTCCACGTAGCGGAGCTTAAAGCCACAAGAACGGGGTAAATGGGCAAGTCATTATTGGTTAAGTGTTTTGCTCTTAGTTCTGATTGGCTGAAAAAAACGCGGGATTTTTCATGGAATCACAAGGTAAACTAAAGCACCAATAGAAGTAAACGGACGTAAGATCACAGCTAGCATGGATTTACAGTGAATGGTAAACTACCCTAACTACAAACGGGTTTGACCGTTAGGAGGTCCAACGTCTATGCCACCCTGATGAGCCCCAATAAAGGCGAAAAGAGCTGTTCATGGCTGCCGCTGCCCGGGCGATATGGCTATGCGAATGCGTGACGTAATTGCTCTTAAGTTTCTTACGCTAACTAGAAGGTTTTTTGTTTCTTAGGTGAACAAGGTGACAGCCTTTATTGATTTGTCATTGGTATACGGTTGTGATGAATGCCGAGCCTTGGCTTTACGAACCATGGAAAAAGGAAAATTGAAACACCAGTCAAGCGACATCCTCGACTTCAACACCAAAGAGGTCACCAACCTTAACCTCCTCAACGGACCACGCGACAAAATGCTGGTGTCAGGTGACAACCGAGTCAACGTGCAACCTGGCCTCATTGCTCTGCACACCCTGTGGTCACGTGAACACAACCGCATCTGTGACGAGCTCCTACAGCAGCCTGGGAACGAGAACATGGACGACGAGACATTGTTCAACCACGCGCGGACTTTGGCCCGTGCAAAATGGCAGAAGATAGTCTGGAACGAGTTCTTGCCCACAGTTATCGGGCGGGCGGAATATGAGAAGCTCGGGGAATATAAGGGCTACAACTCATCTATCGAGGTCGGCATCTTTAACGAATTTGGAACAGCGGCGTTCCGGTTTGGCCATAGTCAAGTGGGTAATATCATGCCACGATTGGACGAGAACTGGACCATGATCGGTAACGGACATTTGTCCTTGCGTGACGCATACTTCAGCCCAGGCCGCGTGATTCGTGAGGGAGGCATAGAGCCGCTGATCAGAGGTATGATGGTACAGAAGGCCCAGGAAGTTGATCTGAAGTTTTCGGACTCAGTGCGTAACTTTCTGTTTGGAACTAACACGATGGGACTCGACTTGGTTGCCATTAACATCCAAAGAGGCAGAGACCACGGTCTGCCGGATTATAACACCGTACGGGAAGGAGTAGGCTTGCCCAAACGCAAATCATTCGCTGAAATAACTCCTGACAAGATGATGCAAGAGAAGCTCCAAAGCGTATACTCGAGCGTTGATGATGTTGATCTATGGATCGGCGGTCTAGCCGAGCCACATGTTGATGGGGGATGTGTCGGGGAAACCTTCGCTCGCATCATCGCTCTTCAGTACCGTGTTTTGCGAGACGGAGATCGGTTCTGGTACGAAAACACAGACACCGCCTTGTACCAGTTGAAGGACAGACTCAATTTACCGACTAAAGGTACCACCATGGTAGACGTGCTTTATAGGAACACTGGAATAAAGTGGAAGAAATCTCCTTTCTTTGTTAGAGATATAAAGTAATCAGCGAAAATCCCAGATGAAAGCTGAAACTGTTCAAAACCATCGAACTGAGTTTATCACGAGGACAGTCAATGCTAATGGCGTGGTGATCACGTGTGTTGCACGAGCAAACGTGATTCTTTTTAGGGACCTCAAAAACTAAGACCAAATTGCGGACTATTTTTGTCATCGATTACCACTCTATCGCTTGAAACCTAGTGAAAACTACTTTATCGGCATCGGAAGCCGGAGCGAAAAAAAAACCAAAATCACCTTTGCACTTTTTGAAGCCGATTTAGTTCTTCTGCTTCTCCTTGCGACTTCGAGAACCTAGTTTCACTACAGCATAAGCGACGGAGTCATAAGCCACATAGAAACGCTGTTTTCACAAGATCATAACCCTCTACGCTTCTAATAACGATAACGACTCCGATTCAATCGCCGGTGACGACCGGCGTATTTCATAATATCGGGAAACCGACGATAAACATTTAAATCCATAAGACGAAATAACAAGCAAGCGCGAACAAAACAAGTAATACATCACTGTAGTAAACGTTAGTTTTCATAGTTCTGCAAGATATGTAGCAACAGCACTTGGCAAAGAACTGAAATTTTGCAATCCATACGAAATCGAAGTTTCATTCACAATATAGATAGACAAGTTAGGTAAATTTTATATTTGACATTTAAGCCTTCGCTGGAATTGTAAAAAAAAGGCGACGCACAGAGCAGATTTCTAGACGAACTAATTTATTGATTAAAAGGATCGTCAGATGCACTTTTCCTTTCCGTTGATTTAAGGGCTAAGAACTTAACGCTCAGTTCTTAAAAAGGGCAGGAAAACCAAGCGTACTTCGGTTTTCATTTTGCTCCTGATTGGTTGAAAATACAGGGCACCTGTTCTGATTGGTTAGTGAAAGAGTCACGTGGCAGTGCTCAAGACAAATGTCACCCGGTAAACGCACTGATCATGCATCCTTTTCTAAGAAAACGGTCGATGAAAGCAAGGCACAAGTTTACATATTTTGTTCTGGCATACAATAATCAAAGGGGTTTTATGTAAACGTTCTCACCATTGAATAAAATTTAAAAAAAAAATCTGGAAAGATAACAACTCAAAATTTTACTTCAGAAACGAAAAACTACAGTTTTCCTTCTTTCTCAATGGGAGAAAAAGGGAGAAAACATGTTTTCTACATCCGTCGTCTTTTTTAAAGTTATACTTTCAAATATTCTATGTAATTTGAACTGTAAATAGTCGTATATTATTTATTAATCACATCTATCAAATCTTAACCGAATAGTAGACTTATAACTTTTCTTAGAGGATCTTTACCCTACCTTTAGGACAGCAATATACTCCTTATAAAAGTTGTCATACTCAAGAGTATCAAAAGCATATAAGTCGCTTAAGATATTGTAACACTAACCGAGATTTCTTGGGAAAAGCAAGTTCTTCAAGAAACAAAGAGTTTGTTTTTTTTGTAACTTTAAAAAACAAGAATTAAAACTTGAATGAAAAATAACTCGACTGAGGACTCCAGCCATTTGTTTGTTTGTTTGTTTTTTTAATAACATTTAATCATTTCAACGTGGTAAGGGAATTAAGGGCCTTTTAGAAAAGATTGAGGATCCCAACACTATCCAAAGAATTCGTTTCCTTTAAATCAAGCATTTTTGGGGACGATTATAAGCAGAGATTTAAAATTATTTGACACTAACCTTCCGCCAAAATCCTGCAATTCTCCACCATTTAAGGCACTTGAACAAAATAATAAACAACGCAAGCAAAACCACTTTTACAAGCAGTTCACTTTCTTTTAAAGTTTTTTAATGACCTCCCATGTTTCTGAATGGCCCAAGATGTAAAATTTGAACGTGTAGGGTCAGTGTTTGCTTATAAAATATTCGAAGCAAAAGAAGATAAATTAGGACATCTGCGCGTCTATCCCATAACGCACACGAGAACTACAAAAATTGTTACACAGCTCTGAGCTGGATTTTCTCCCCAAAAGTGTGTGCTCTCATTGGTTTCCTCGAGGTTACATGCCACCCAACAATAGGACTGTTTCCCGCCAAAATTCCCCGAGCGGGCAACACAATGCAGCAGAATCTATGATGTCAGAGGGTGACGGTGTACAGCTACCCGCGAGTGTTGACCGCTATGCAAACTCGATTTGCATTGGCAACTAATACCATGGGTATTATGCAAATAAGACTATAAAAGAGATTACACGTGTTTCACGCCATCACCCTAGATATTGCTCTGAAATAGTGTAAAGATTCAGAGAGCCGGACGGTGCACCCCCACTACGACTTCCCAGAAAAAACCCATCCGAGAAAAACATAGGCACCTTAAACGTGCATGAGCTATTTTGAATGCTTCAGTGTAGCCGCATCAACAATCTACTGTTTTAATCCTAAACTAAGACTATATTTTGTGCGAAATTGGTTATTGCTGTACATTAATGAATACGCGAACCGCTGCGCACAGCTGAGTCGATACTCATACTATAGATCCACTTTTCTTTGTCTTTCCTTGCAAAATAAACAAATTGTTTAAGTCCTATGAATATCAACTCACCAAACGTTGCTTAGAGGGAAGACTCGAAGGTTTCAATTTTTCTTCATGGTTTCTTACGATATAATAATGAAGATCGTCGAATACCGAATAGCTAAGAAATGTCACGATTTTCATCACTGTTGTAGATGGTTGCATCATCGTTACTCACGAAGTTTTACATGCGATTCTACTTAATGAAACAGTCCTTAACTCTGACGACTTGATTCTAAAAGTGTTGTAAGTTATTTTATTCGTAAAAGAAAAGAGCCTTCAGGCTTAAGGCACTAGTTATAAAAAAGTTCCGCAAATTTTAGTCGGGAATTTTTGGTCGGTAAGAACGGTACGTGTCGTTTACCATTTGCCTAAAATTTCCGGATTCTCGCGCCGCGCTTGACTGAATTCTAGTTCCAACATGAAACCAGTACCAAACTCAAGAAACTTGTAAATGGTCAACGAATTTCCATTCGGAACGTTCCGATCGGGAAAACGGGGCTACCTTTTCAGAATCTCCGTTTGTCCCGGGAATTTTCCAGTGGGACGAACCAAAACAACGTTTACCATTTACATCCCAACCTGAATTTCCGGGAATTTGTGGTAAATGGGAAACAAAACAGGATTATAAAAATAACTCATGCACACAATTTGCACGTGAAAGTGTTGGTCTTTGTCCCTTTTACAATTCGTACGGGCTTACTACAAAATTTGCTCAAATGATTTAAAAAAATCTCCTTGGTTTTACAATACATGTATCTGCAATTAAATTATGCTTCATGCAACGTTAAGGTTGATAGCCTAACATTTATTTCCTGCCAAGAAAATTATCAAACTGCCGAAATATACTTCTACTCATATAATGTTGTTCCACTCAATAAAACAATATGTAATTATTTAGTCAACTACTATGCTTCTTCCAATTTAATTCCCTGACCACTACCGTTTCGACTTAAGTTACGAATCTAAGGGTACCTTCCGGCAAGTGGCAACGAGGCGAATTCGTTTATCTTTTGTGGAATGTGCCTATTCAGATCTTCGTGATATTTTTTTCATAATTTTAAAGGTTTAAAATGGATTCCGCTATAGAAAAGGATGGCACCCAACTTCAAAACAACAACTTTGGCACATTCTAGGCTTTTACTTCTATCAAACGATAACAACATGGCTTGAAGCTTTGTTGGTAAATATGAGCAAGTTAGTACTTATGTTTCATGGAAAATTCCATTGTATCAAAACTATAAACGTTAGAAAGAAAAATGTAGTTCAAATGAGGCCTTTGACTGCTGAAATTAAAAATAATAATTAAATTCCGAGCAACAGCGTCATCAGGGATAAGAAAAATATTTCGCGTGGTAATATACATAAGAAAAAAATTGGTGTAAAATAAAATGTGTGAAAAGTGCAAGAATGGGGCGGAATGTGTCAGAGGTATAAAAATAAAAATTTGAATAAAATACAAAGATCTGATGAACGAGTGTCGCAGGACAAAGAGTCTCTTGAAAGGAATAATGATAGTCTTCAAAACAAAAGGTCCGCAAGTTGGTTGCATTCCTCACGGGAAGTGAGGACTGGCTCAATGTAAATCGACCTGCGAAGAACACGCTGGTTCTGATAAACGTTTTGAGAATATACCTTGATCAACTACCGCTTAAAATTTAATTCACGAAGGAAAAGAGGACATTGAAAACCCTGGTTCTGAGTCGAGAAGCGAACACGCTACCTCAATGTAAATGGAGCTGCAAAGAACAAGCTGGTTCTGACAAAAATTTGAGTGTAAAAACCTATTCCTTGATCAGCTGCTGCTTTAAACACAATTTATAAGGCAAACCAGAGCACTAATTGCCCTTTCAAACTAGAAATCGTATTAAAGCTTCCTCACCTGTTACGTCCTCTAGAACAGACAACGAACAGCTGCACAGTGAATCACCCAATTTCAGATCACGAGTTGTAAATACAAGACCATGACGTCACTACCCAAATATGGGGTCTTACTTACACCCAAATGTGGTCAAAAATGCAAATCTTAGAGGTTTACGCAGAATTTGAAGGTTTTTGCCTACATTGCGCGGCGTTATAATTCTGCCGCCGAGGCAACCTCGCTTCTTAGCTCGGTTGCCGCGTTGGCAAATTCATGTTTTTTTTTGCCGGTACGAAAAAGGTCTGTTGAACTTGTAAGCGAGAGAGTAAAGCTTGTTTACAGTATTAAAAATACTCGCCTTAACTGCCTGTCAAACTTCTAAAGCAAAAATTAATAGGCCGCAAACTTCCGAATTAAAGTCCATATCTCAATTTCAATTATTGTTTCATTGGAAGAACTTTAAAAAATATATGATCTTTTATACTATGCCTTGAAGCAGGTGAAACAGAACTCATAAATTATGAAATACGTACGTTGTGCCGTTCGAGATAGCCGAATTAGGTCAAATGTCTTGAAGCAGCACCCACACTAAAATATGGACCCGTCAACAGCTGTATCACTGTACTCAGCGTTTGAATCATGAAAATATTTCAATGTTATGTTTATTAACACCTTTAGCCGTAATAAAAGACGTAAAAATTGTGAAGAATCAAGATGCAATGTCAATGTCAATGTTATTAACGGTTAGATGCCAAAATCTCATTGGTTCCTATACATCAACTCATAGTAGCTTCAACCTTATTGGCCCCCGCAACAAATATCCGAACATACAAATCCACAAAGACACATACCAGCAACATACGCTCAAACCACTGACATATGAGCTATTTATAGCTCAAAAATGAGCCTCGTTAGCCTCGTCAGAAGGTCAATCACAAGACCGTCCACAAGGGGCATATTTTTCCAGCAGTTTCCGGAGAAAAAACAGGAAGTATCCGAGCAACTTCATCTGCGGATGCTTCCATCACTCTACAGAACCTGTTGTAAGATCTTTTCCAAAAGCTTCTAAAGCTCTTCGTCTTTTTTTCAGAGAAATGTTGATAACTGTATAACTGTATATTAGATTTAACGTCACACCTCATACGCTTCAATAAATTTTCATGGTTGGCTCCATTTCTGGAGGCACTTACGTCACTTGGTAAAAGGTTTGATTGTCGCCCAGGTTAGTTTTGTGCAGGTCCTGTTATTTTGTGAAGGAATGTTCAATTGACTTGATACATGAACTTGTTTGCAAAATATGATGTCTTCGTAGACTTTTTGGTCGTGAGAAATCAAGCGAACTATACTATATATCAAAACGACTCGGCAATTTATAACCAATGTAGGCATTGTATTAGCTCAAGTTGCACTAGAATTTACCTGAGAGATGCATTTGGTTCTTAATCTCCATCTATTATTTCCTCGTAGACCCTTTCGTCGTCAACAATCAAGGACTGTCTGCTGTACCCTCTTGCGAACTATCAAGATTACTCGAGAATTTAGAACTCAGGTATGCATTTAATACGTTAGCTGCGGTTACACCAGATAGAACTCCCTATACAAAGTGAAGAAATGCCTTTGGCGTTAATCGCCGGGAAACTTTCTGACGAACCTTATGTTGGGATACAGATTTTGAAGGAATAGACAAACAGGACTTGGCAGTTAAACTTTGTTTAATCTTTTTGTGTGCAACAATGACAAGCTTGACCAGAGCTAAAACTGAATATATCCTAACTTACAGAGTGTTTCTATTTATACTGAAAAGATCAGTTTAATTATTAATAAGTTTAAGCAAGATCAAGAGCATTCATATGCAGAAAACAGGTGTTTGGGCCGGAGTGTTTATGAGTATAGGATCAAAAGGAACCGAAATCAGTGAACTGTTTTCAACTGTGACGATAGGTTTTGTCCTTCCAAACACAAATCGGGGAAATGAGCGTTAAGAGAATTCGAACGACTTCGGCGTATGAACAACAAGGGTGAAAACTAACTCTGCAACTCGCTTGGCTAGTACAAAAGGAACTCGTCACTCTTCCACATTACTAGGAATGGAACTAGAAGGTCAATCACAAGACCTTCCATAAGGCATATTTTTCCAGCAGTTTTCGGAGAAAAAACAGGAAGTATCCGACCAACTTCATC